TCGAAGTAAGGAACCTAGGAGGTGGTCGGTTTCATAGACCTCCCGTGCCATTCCATTGGGTGGTAAAGGGGGGTGGGGGTAAACTTGCAGCTCCGATTTGGTTGGCTTTCGCAGATATTCGGATTTTGACTTCTTTTGTTGTATATAATAGAATCAGACTTTTATCTTTCTTAAAAGAAGTTAACTAGTAGATCGATAAAGCAGTTCCCAAAGAGATCAGTTGCGTCGACAGTCCAAAAAACCATGGACATGCATATTTATGTCATATTTGCGGCTCTATGGTTTCATAGTGAAGGTCCAAGAAGTACATGTTATAATATGAAATGCATAGTGATGAACTGTTCGAAAATAATATTTGAAATAACCTACTCGTAAGATTCAAAGTTTTTTTCAAAGTCCATCACTGGGATGATTTTTAAAGGAGACTACGTTTGAATAGGTGCCCTGCTAACACATCAAAATCGCATCTACAAATAAGTGTGTACATGTATAATACATGAGAAAGTATACAATCACTTTTGTTTGTTCGATTTTAAATTGGGTGATTGTGAATGTGCCATTTACTTGTTTCAAAAATTCAAATAGAAATTTCTCGAACTTCATGACACAATTCAAGTTTGTCCAATTTAAAATTGAATGGCTAGAGATCCTCCTTGTAGGTAAATGGTTTCATAGCTTACAATCCCTAATTTTATATACAAAATTTACATTAAGATTGCCTTCATTGCAGGAAAGTCATCATCACATTTAGCCGCAATAAATATGAAATCGAATAGCCAAGAGTGACCCCTTTTACTCGACTCACAGTCCTAAAAAGAATTATCCTACTTTGTGACACACCTCAAGAAAATGGGCAGAAACCTTGGTAGTGGTACCGTTGAGCTCCATGATGAAGTCATGGAGTCCATTCTCACTAAAAGGTAGGGTCCCAAATCCCTACTGACCTGCTGACTTACTCTCTTTTTTTTTTCTTTTTTCTTTTTTTGAACATATTCGAAACTAGAAGTACCATGTTTTACTTCAACGACTAAAGGTGATTGTGACCTGGTACCAAACATAAATAATATTATGCATACAATTTGGTGTGTAGTGTGTACATATGTGCAAGAGGAAAAGTCTTGATTATATTAACTTTCCACTGAAACAATGAATATTAGTTCAAAATATTAGTAGTAACTAATAAATTGATATTAATATTTCGCTCAAAAAGGGAGTTAACGGTTAACATTTGGATGTTAATATTATGAGTGTGTATTCCTATAGGAGCATACTATACACTTATTCAATAGAGGAAAAAGACCTAATTAAGAGGATTTTTTTTTAAAAAAAATTGAAATACACTTTAGAACCACCAAATAAATAACTTCATGAGGAACAAAGAATTGGAGTTACTAATTACTTATACGCATGTTGATTGCGTGGTAAGTTCAATACACAAGTTGCTCTCTCAGTGCCCCTGACCTTCTTGAGTAGCCAATAGACATATGGGTGAGGTTTATATAAGGTGTCAATCTTAAATAATTAATGTAAAGAGCATTCAAATCCCATGGAAAGATGTACTCCAGGCATCATAATCCCTAAAATGGCCTGAAATCCTTCTGTTACTTCTATTTCTAATTATGAGATTTAAAGCTTCAAATTGAAATATATAAATACTTAAAAATCTTGCAATTTGAAACGATAAATTGTTATATGAAAGGTTTATAAGGCTGATGCGTATCCTCTATACCTTTAACTATAAGATTGATACATGCAACTAGAAATTGTTTACTTAATTGGTACAACTAGTTGATGCCCGTCCTTTGCTTTGACAATGTTCTAATTAAAAAATTTGATAAAAATAGCTTTTTAAAAAAAAAAATTAGAAAGAATTTGATAGATTTGTTTTTAGTTGTATTTATTTTTAGTTATTCAGCAGTACTACATATCGATGTTTAGAAACAAGTGGAATTTGACGTTCTTAAAGTGGTAAAAAATTTGTGGATCTAAAAAGTTGAAATGGACAGTCCGTAAGTGTTGCAAGGTAGACCTTTTTTTTTTTAAGCTTGAAATCAATTATCTTTTCAAATATATGATTGTCGAGATCGAGATTATCATTTGGTAAATTTTATAATGCAAGAACTATATTTTCTAATGACACATGAGGTGCAGCTTTATAATCCCTGACTTGATCAAGTACTTTGATGGAACAATTTAGAAGGTGATCTTCAAATTTCACCAATTAGTACATCAATAGCTATTCATTTAAATTTCTTTTATCCCTCTTCACTTAGCCAAAATAGGCTAATAAGAACTCATAGGCCTCACCTTCAAGGCATATCCCATAATCCACTAGTCTCAGACCTGAAAATCCAAGTAAGCTACCTTCTTTTTATTTGGGATTATGGCATTAGTGGGTAAAAAAAATCGAATTATGCAACCTTAAATCCATATTAAGCGATAAATAATCAGTCAAATTAAAATCACCCGCAAATGAGATTTTTAAAGGTTGCATTGAAACATCAGAGCAATGGCATTTGCATAATTAGATAGTGACCTCCCATTTCCTAGAGCCTAATGCCAATGCCACATGCCACTCCTATGTACGCCGTAGCCGGCACCACATAGATCTGGATTTCATGATCTTAGTTGTACATCATCACACAAGCCAATTTAAAATTAGGGGAGACAACGGGCCAGACAGTCAGCTCGGCTACAAGCCAATTTAAAATTAGGGGTGGCAATGGGCTGGGCCAGACTGTTAGCTCGGACCAACGACCTAGAGCCAATATATGCCGCTAGGGCCAGGCCATGCAAATTATGGCATTAGTTGCTAATGGGTCAGGACCAACATATGGCAGGCTCAGGGTGAGTAAACCATGGATGATAACCCAGATAAACAAGTACTTGCCCTTCTTGCCAAGTCTGAGCCACGCAACTCATGGCTCAGGTCTAGCAGCTCATTAAAAGGCCCTGGCCCGGCCCAAACCCGATCTACCAGATATTGCAAATTGGATCTCTGGATATAATAGTATAGCATGTGATATCAGTCTCTCTTCAATTTCAACTTCTCACAGTAGTACAAGCATTCTTCTTTCAATAACAAACCATTAACAGACTTTGTTTGCACCGCTGCGGGCACAAGCATGTTTACTTTTGGTGCAAAAACATTTACTGTTCCCAAAGGAGCATGCTGTTCATTTGCCCAGACAAGATCAAGTGTCGAAGAGCAGTAAATCCACCAATATTTTTTCTTGGAAAGAACCATATCTCGTGATTGTTAGGTAGATCCCAAAACTCATGATAAAAAATATACTCCTCAGCTCTTTCATCAGAGGGAGTTCATGTGCAGTATGCTCCCTCGTATACAGTTTACTTGTACTTTGTCACTCCATGGTTTGTTTATAGCAAGTCAAGATAAGGGAGGACAAGACAAATTGCACAATCCAAAATGAGGGTGTCATTGCAGCAACCCATTGTATACTTTATGTTATATTCCACAAAAAATAAAATAAAGAATTATTATTATTATTTTTTTTTTTGGGAGTATAAGTAGTATCTCTCATTGAGTTTCCAGCTCCTCTCGATTCTCCCTCAGATAATCCAAAAGCATCATCCTCCTGTTTGTAGTGGCCCACTTCATAATGCTCCCTTTCCTCACTCTCTTCTTGCAAAAATGCTCCCTTTACATTCTTTGAAAAATAGGTACTGGCCCCAGCTGAAATAAATTACCCAAAAAAAAAGGTAAAGCAATCCCCATCAGTGTTCAACCAAAACTGGGTTGACACAGAACAAATTATAAATCAAAGAAGTTTCAATACTAAACTCATAGAAAACCTTCCTTTTCGCCCGGCCGGCAGAAACCTTGAGCATAGCAACAGGCCGGCTGGTCATCTCTCTTCGCTCAAGGCATAAATCAACTAATTTTGGGTGGAGAATAAAAGGTGAACCAAAATTTGATCACCCTTGAGATGCCCTTGTTTCCTTAAAAGTGATCACGATATAGTAAAAAAAAAAAGGAAAAAAGAAAAAAAGTAAGAAAAGAGGGTTGGGTTGGGCTAGGCTAGGCCAAGAGAAGGGCTGGTTTGTATAGGCATTGTCGTGTCCCTAACCTAGGCTGTCCTTGCCTGACCGGGCCCTCAAGCCGCACCTTGTGGCCCAACGCTAAGTTTTTAGGGCCGCATAGAGCTGCCAGGCTTATTGCCGGGCCTAACTGGACATGAAATGTTTCACATGGATAATAAATAGGGAAAATTATGAATACCCCTCAAAATAAACTTGATAGACATTCTATCCCGAATACTTTTAGTACCACACCGACAACTCAATCACTGTTATTTCTTGCTTAACCCCCAATAAAAAAATAAATATTTCAAATATTAAACTACCCTCTCCCTCCGTCTTTCTCTCTTTTTACTTGCCATCTCTTTCTTTCTTTCTCTACTCACCTTCTCTCTCTATCCGCCCACCTCTCTCTTTCTCCACTCAATATCAGTCTCTCTCTTTGTACCCAACCCCTTTTCTCTCTCTAATATTGGGTGGAGAGAGTAGTTAGAGAGAGACTGCAGGTAGAGAGAGAAAGATAGAGAGGGTGGATAGAAAGAGAAAGAGAGAGTGTGGGGTAGAGAGAGTGTGAAAGGGTAGTTTAGTTTTTAGAATATGTACTATTTGATTAGGGAGTTAAAAGCAAAAAAAAATATTCACTGAGTTATGGTTGTGATGTTAAAAGTATTGGAAGTAAAATGTCTACCTCATTCATTTAAGAGAATATTTACAATTTTCTCTAATAATTATCTACACAAACTGAGGAGAGAAGAGAGAGGACCATGAGAGAGAGCGCACTTACCTTGGCATCCTCCATTCAGGTATGGGTTCCCCTCATAGCCCCTGATGCAAGGACACGGATACCCGAAGCCCCTCTCAGAATACTCCGTGTTCTGCCCACATACATATCGAATGCCGGTGGAATTTGCAGTCGCGGGCACCTCCCCTTCCCTTCCCTATCGCCCTCTCCAGCACAATCGCCAGATCAGCTTTGTCCAGAAAATGGCGAAGATCCGTTTCAATGAATTTGCAGTTCTCAAGCTCTGCAAGGAAGTCATACGAGCACCAGCTGTAGTTCCCACTCAATGTGTGGTTCTTCAAACTACTAGCAAACACACGGAGGTGCTTCTTATGCTTGGGCAACGTTGTTTGGCAGCACCCGATTCCAGCACATGACCCGTTCACCACGGTGCTGTGGTTCGCACACAGTGACACACACCCGCTTGTGAAGCTCACCGTCTTTAACGTAGCCCACAGCTTCGCACCCGATGGCTGTGAACACTGTCTTATTTGAAATAGTGTAAGGTCCGTTTCCCCTGAGTTTCACATAGGCGCCATTGTTGTTTCCATTAGTCCAACTGTAGGCAAGTGTCTGAGTGGTGTTTACTCGGACCTCCTCAGCCTTCGCGAGCGAGATGTTGAGTACTTGGAGGTTTCCCTTTCCAATGAAGGGCTTTGGTGGTATGAAGGAGCGATTGCAGGTTATGTCGAACCCCTCCATGAAGCAACCCTCGTGGCCCATCCCGAAAGGGTATGGAATTTCTATGTCTCCACATCTCTCCTCGCAGCCAGGCTTTGCCATGCTCGCCAATGCAAAGACACCAAAGACTTTGAGATGAAGCACCCCCACAGTCCATAGCCATAGACCATTTTTCGCATCCGTGGTCCCTCTATAATATCCTAAATACCTCTTATTTTGGAGGCACCGGTGCTTTGAGTGGTTGACTCCTCTTAGAGTCTAATAAATTTTCCCCACTAAGTTTCAGTACTTACAAAGCTTTGCTTCTTCTTCTTTTTTTTTTTTTTTTTTTTTGAAGGGTGGTTTAGTTATGAGAATCAAACTTAAGATATAGCTTTGCTAATATCAACTGCTGACTACCCAAATCCAAACAAGTTTCGTATTAGAAACAAAGGTTTCCACGTTGTCGAAACCACATTGGGGTCTATTTTATAGGGCAATTGTGCTCTCTCCAGGGAGAAAGAGGGAGGAAAGATATGGGCATGCAGTGGTTTTTGTGTGACTCAGGAAATTGCCACTTTTTTTCCACATTTGTTGTTGCATTCAACCTTTTTTTTTTTTTACTTTTATTATGCACAAAAGTTTCCCTCATTATCCTAGACTTTGCTTTTGAGAGTCGCTTTTTATGCCTATATAGGAATAGTAAAATATTAATATCATGCTAAATTATTGAACCAAATTATACATTGTTTCCTAGAGGGAATTTAAATTTATTAATGGGTTAAGTACTTTCCTCCACAATTCTCACCAGAAGAAGTAAGACCACCATATGGACACAAGTGTGTTGGTGCAAATATGATATGATGTGCAATATACACTATATGCTGCCATAATGGACTTCGTTCATAGATGCAATCGCGAAATCGTTGTATTCTTTTATTCCTTTCACATGACCGCAAATAGGGATGGTTCTATTAATATCAACCATGTGATGGAAGTATTTTTTACATGAAAAATAATGAATCATATAAAATAGTAGGAGTTGGAGATATGAGAATCAAGATGTTCAATCGAGGGACATACATAAATAATCCCGAGGGTCAAGATATGTTTTAGGTCTTAAAAGGAGTCTCCTATCCCTGGAAAAATTTGATAAGCAAGGTTTCAGATTTATTGGTGGAAATAGATGTCGAAAAATTTCAAAAGGAGAGTTAGTAGACAATTTGTATAGACTTGTTGGCGAAATAGTTTTGGGAGATGCCGATATTGCAGAGGTGGACTCTATCACGACATGGCATGCACATTTGGGTCACATGAGTGAGTGTGGACTCAAGGTACTTCTCGATAAAAACTTTCACCCTGGTTTAAAATCTTTTTATTTAGATTTTTGTGAGTCATGCTTATTTGGAAAGCAGAACAAATTGTATTTTGCTTTATTCGTCGCTAAAAATAAGGATTTTTTGGAATAGAATCATTTGGAGGCTTGGGAATCACCTGTTGTTTCTATGGGGGGTACTGCAGATTTTGTCACTTTAATTAATGATTTTTTAATAAAAGCGTGGGTTTATATGTTGAAAAAGAAATAAGATGCCTTCAGTTGTTTCTAAAATTTAAAGCCTTATTACAAAATAAAAAATGTCTTGCATCAAATGTCTAAAAACTGAAAATGAAGGATAATTTTGTTATGGTGACTTTAATAATTTGTAGTGACATGAGATTGCAAGACCGTTGACAGTTCCTGAAACACCTAAGCAAAACAGTGTTATGAAGAAGATGAATCATATCATTATGGAGTGTGTCATGTATATGTTGAGTGCTGTTAGGTTAGAGCAGTGTTTTTGAGCAGAAGCAATTCATACAACTTGTTTCCTAATTAATAATTCTCTCAGTTTTTCTATTAACTGTAAGACACCAGAAGACGTTCGGACAGGTAAACATGTTGATTATTCTTTCCTTGATGGTTTTGGTTGTAACACATATTCTTTGATTTCGAAGGAGATGAAAAATCCAAAAAGTGTGTTTTTTTTTTGCTATGTTGATAATGTAAAGGGCTTTGTGGGATCCTATTGACAACATGATTATAGTTAGCTGACATATTATTTTTAATAAAAATTTCATGTAGAAAAAAAAAAAAGGAACCAGATACAAAAATTATTGAGGTAAAATGCACCTATAAGAACCAGCAAAATAGCGTTGAGGACCCGTTTGCATGGTCTCACTCAACACACGAGGGCTTCCAATTTGCAAAGGTAATATAAAATTACTAGCACGATACAAATGGTTTGAACAATATTGGCTTTTTGCTTTTGGACTTTCCTTTTGCAGCTACCCATTTTTCCACGTACCATTTTCCCAGGCCTTTTGTCCGGCAAAATAATTCACTTGGGCCAAGCCATCTTTTCTAGTTTAAATTTTATTTGTGGATAGTTTTAATTTTGGCGCATGTCCACGAGAGTTGATTATCGACTTTTTTTTCTCGAGTAAAAAAGTCATTTAAAAACATTTATGAAGCTCGGGTTCCACTTAACATACATAATGGGATTATTTTCACAAAAAAAGAAAAAAGATTTGAGTTCAACGCTTAGATCTAACATCTAAAATTGGACAATTTATGTTCAATTTTAAGACATTTCATTCAGGTGCTTTTGAAAAACACACTCCATATATTCTTTCCTTGCTGACATATTCTTTCCTATATTCTCTCACTCTAAATATCTAAATCCATTGTCTCTTATCCTCTCTCATCAAAAAGCTCTTCGTTTTCAATGGACACTTCATCCTCATCAAACAACGATCTCTATCCCTATATGGTAAGTGCAGGAAATTTTGTGTTTATTAAATTGACATAGAATAATTATTTGTTATGAGAAACTGAAATGCTTTCACTGATTGAGACTCAACAACTTTTATGATTAATTAATGATGACTTTTTTAAACCAAATCAAAATATTTCCTCTCCTGATCGTAAGAGTGCAATTGAAAATCCAAACTACAAATCATGGTTACAAACCGACCGACTTCTTAAAGCTTGGATAACAGGGACACTATCAGAAGAATGTATTGGCCTCATTGTTGGCTTTACAACTTCCATAGAAGTTTGGAAATGCATGACTAATGCATATACATGTAATTCTCAAACTAGAAAGTTCCAACTTACCCAACAACTCCAATATTATAAGAAAACGATTTTGACTATCGGAGTGCATACGCAAATTCAAGGGTATTTGTAGTGATTTGGAAGTTTTTGGCAAACCTGTATCAGGTGAAAATAATGTATTTTGGCTATTTAATGGACTTGGACCGAAAGATGAGAGTTTTGCTACCACAATGCGTAAGTCTCATATTCCTTTATATTATGAGATTATAGCTCTTCTTCAGAGCCATGAAATTAGAAACCAACTTCATTTCTCTGAAGAACACTCATATCCAAATTAAAATATGGCTTTCCTGGACAATAGAGAAATTTTGTAACTAATAGAGGTAGAGGCAGAGGCAGAGGCAGAGGCAGAGGATGTGGGTTTGTTCAAATAGGCCACAATAATAATGAGGAATAGGGTGTACCCCAAAAAAACCAAGGAGGTGATGATGCATCTCCAAATCAAAGTTGTCAACAAGATCCCTAGAAACAATCTTCGTCTAAAAAACCCTAGGAAAAATGTCAAATTTGTAGAAAATTTGGTCATACTGCATTAAATTGTTGGCATCAATTCAATCATACATACCAAGTAGATGATTCTCAAAACCCAAAATAGTTTATGGACATTGGTGCCTCAACTCATACGATAGGAGACCTAGGTAAAGTGCAAAACCTTCACTTTTATAGTGGTACACATACATTTATGGTAGGCAATGATGAGCAATTGACTATTTTACATGTTGGTGATGTAAATATTTATGTTGAGTTTGAAAATTTTAATATTTCTAATGTTCTTTTGGTGCCAGAGATAAAAAAGAAGTTATTATATGTAAGCTAGTTTACAAAATATTTTCCTTTGTATTTTTGAGTTCCAATCAAATGATTTTCTGATAAATGAAAGAAACATAAGGATAATTCTAATAAGTAGGAGTAGCAAGAGCGGACTGTATGCACTTGGGGATGTGAAGCAAGTTTTGTTTTCTCGTCATAATAAGATAATATCAGAAGATGTATGACATCAACGGCTCAGAAATCCTCAAAATAAATTAGTTGTTATATACAATCTACACAGTTGATTAGCGTGGATGAATGTAATAAATCTCATTCTGTTTTTGCTAGATGTTAGATGGGAAAAGTTGTAAATTCTTATTTAGTATTATTGATAAGACCTCTACATTACTTCTTTTTACAATTCATTCATATTTATGGGGTCCTGCTCCAATTTATCTAATCAAAGTTATCACTTTTATGTGATGTTTGTGAAAGATTATACTCGGTTTTTCTTAGATCCATCATTTGAAAAGAAAATCTGAATATTTTTTAGCATTTGTGAAATTTCATCGTATATGGTGGAAAGGAAATTTGAAAAAATGAATTCAAAATTTTCAATGTAATGAAGGTGGTGAGTTTGCTAAGAAAGAATTCATTCCTCATCTTAGTGATAATGGAATTATGCATTAGATATCATGTCCAGGTGTTCCAGAACAAAATGAGATAGCTGAAAGGAAACATAAAAATATTGTAGAATTACGTCTTACAATCGTGTTTCATGTAGGAATTCCTAAACAACTTTGGATTGAAACTTCCATCCTGCAATCTTTGTAAAACACTAGGATTCTTGAATTTTGTTTCTATTAAATGCTCCTTTCTCATCCGGTCTTGGGACTGGCAATGGAACCGAAAATGCTCCACATACCCCCATATAATACAACACTATTAAGGACATTGTTGTCTTGAGGGAATGCTCCCTCCATGAGAGTTCTAAATAATTGGCCAGAGTCAGCAGAAATTTTTTTAATGCTAAATTTTGAATTAAAAGAATACTGTCAACGTGGGCACAAGTTTCTTTTATTGCCTGGGTGGTAAATCTGAAATGTGAAAAGTTTGACACATGATACTTTTCTATGCTAAATTTTGTATTACACAGAAATGGATTGCCAAAGTGGAGTTTCCCCTTGCTATTTTAGCTTGAGTCTTTCTAGTGTTTTAAAATCCAGATGGGCAAGATGGATCTGCTGTTCATTGGACCCACCCCAATTGGGCTAAAAAAAAAAGCAAATAGTTGTATAGAGTAATCTTTCCTATATTTATATTTCAATTTTTATTGTTATAAACCATCAATAAAACTTAGGAAAACATGGATTTTTTGGTAAACTATTTGGGGGTGGATATGCTTTTAGGAGTTCTAGACTTCCGGTGAAAAGATTGATTCAAACCATTTTGAATCATTTTTTTTCCGTTTCAATGAGATTGAATTACTAATTCAACGATTTTGAATCTTTCTCTGCGTTCAACCATCGAAATGCTACTTTCAAAGTTTGATAGGTTTGAAACATTGATTCAAATGATTTATTAGAACACTGAATGAAATGAAACTAATTCATTCTTGAATCAGGCAATTCTAAATCATTTAAAATCGTCTCTTTATTGGTAGCAGAATCTTTATCTTGATTCAATTCTTGAACTTTAGAAAACAACAGAATTTCTCAAAGCTAATAATCATTCAAGTTCTTGAAAAGTGACAATCCCCAGAGACAATAATTTACATTAATAGCCATGGATACAGTAGGGATTCCCAACAACTGACTTTACACATTATTGTTGAGTTGATCTAAGAACTGTTAGGATTTCCATCACTAGGGAAGGAAGTATTGTGACTTAGTGAGGCCTCGATAAGTTCCTCATTTTGGTCCATCCATGCATCTTGTGAAGACCCTCTAATCCAATTTAGTTCTTACACTACATTCTTCATTGTAGGTCTTTTCTCTCCTCTCAATCTCAAGCATTTCATAGCCAACTCTGCAACATCTTGCAATTGCTCAATGCTGCCCTCCCTTAGAACATTCTCCTCCAAAATCTCTTCAAGATGGTTCCCTTTCAAATGGGATGTAAAGTACAAAGCTAGATTTGCATCATCGTGAGATCTCTCTGAGGAAACAGGCTTTTCTCCGGTTAAAAGCTCTAATAAAACAATCCCAAAACTATAAACATCGCTCTTAGCTGTCAGGTGCCCGGTTCGAAAGTATTCGGGATCTAGGTACCCAAAAGTCCCTTGCACCAATGTAGATATCTGGTTTTGGTCCATGGGGGCAAGTCGTGAGACCCCGAAATCGGCTACTTTTGCAGTATAGTTATGGTCTAACTGTATGTTGGATGACTTAACATCTCTGTGGAAGATGGGCATGCAAGCTGCAGTGTGCAGGTAAGCTAGTGCTTCGGCTGTTTCTAGGGCTTTCTTAAGCTGCCCGGCCATGTTATTCGATTTTTTGGGTCATTTTCATGGATGTGTTGGTGGAGTGTCCCATTGGGGATGTACTCATAAACCAACATGGGAACAGGAGTTTCAAAGCAACAACCCAAGAGCTTCACCACATTCCTGTGGTTGATTTGAGTGAGTGAGGACTTCATTTATAAACTGATGTATTTGGGTTTGATCCACCACTTTAGCCTTTTTAATGGCTACAATTGTGTGGTCCTCTAAGGTTCCCTTGTACACAGTGCCATAGCCTCCACTACCCAACACATTTGATTCTTCGAAGTTGTTGGTGGCCTTGTTTAGCTCTTTGGTTGTGAATATCCTTGGGGCCGTGATGCCTTGTTGACTGGACACTTTTTGAAGTAACAATAGACCTCCATTTTGCTCAAAGTAAAGCTTTTGGAGCTTCATCTTCTTCATTGCTAGGTACGTCCATATGATAATTGCGGTTAGAAGCGCCGGGCCGATTCCACCTGCTCTCAATGTTTCGCATAAACGTTAAGGTTAGGATATTTTATGTAGCTATCATGAGAATGTTAAGAAAGGGATTGTTTAAAAAGAGACCATTTACCTTTTGTACAAGAAGTTCACAATTATTTTTGTCCCTTCGATTTCAAAATTGATAGGTGTATGAGTGTCATTAATTAGACACAAAATTCCAAAAAAAAAAATTCTTGAACTTCATGACTCACCCCAAGCCATCCAATTTCACATGTGATGAGTGAGAATATTTATGACCTCTTGTACAAAAGATAAAAGTTGCAGTTTGTAAAGGGCTTAGGCTCTAAACAATCAAATTAGAGCCTACTTTCAAATAGTGTCGAGAAATGCAATTTTAATGCCTGAAATCTTTGTGATAACTTTGAAATATAATTTCGTCTTTATTTATAAAGTTTAAAGCTTCAAAAATAGTGTAGATCGACAGATCTATGAAAAGTTGAAAATCTTGAAAATTGATAGTCCAAAATTACGTTACAAAATTCATTATTTTCAAAACTTGAAATCCATGTTTTTCTCATGTCCATGCATCTTGATGTCGAGATGTTCAAGTTGAAGATATTGGGGTATCAAAACAACCTCTTTCAATGAAATTTTTGAGGTAGGCTCGAATTTGATTTTTTAGAACCTCGGCTCTATATAAACTTTTCCCAAAGTTTAAGAAAGTAGACCTCTCTTAAGATTTTGTTTTTGACTCTAGCCGTCCCACTTTTTATAGAGAGGCAGATGGACCGATTTGTCCCTATTTAAAAATCTAAATCCTAAAGCCTTCTCTTCTCTTATCTCTCATTGTTTCCCCATGGTTCTTTCCTCCTCTCACAATATCCCTTTGAAACCCACACATTATCCCTTATTCTCACATTCTCTCCCTAAAAATCCAACTCATGCTCAAATTTTCTCCGAAAACCCAGTCCGGTCTCTATTCCTCTCACATTATCTCTTTAACAATATACATATTTTTGCATCCTCTTATATTATCTGTCTAAAATTGAAATCAAAGAAGAATAGAGGGAAACCAAAGAAACGTAAATTTCTTTTTTCAGATCTTTAGAGACTCCAAGGATGCAATTTCTCTCTTTTACTTTTCTGATTTTATTCTTAGAGAGAAAATGTAAAAGGAGGGAAAAATAAGGCTGGTTTTTCTAGAGAGAATGTGAGAATGGAGAAGAACAAACGAGGTGTTTAAAGAGATAATGTGAGAGGAAGGAATAATGAGTGTGTAAGAGAGAGGGAAAGAGTTTAAAGCATTGGGTTTTTAAAGAGAGTCCCAAGAGGGAAGAAAGAGACATGAGAAAGAAATGTGTATAATGAGAGAAAACTCTAATGTTTCATTTTTAAAAGTGATTTACATACGGATTTTAAATTTATTATATAGAAGGTTGGTCAACCTGTTTTTTGTATTTTTTTTCAAAATTGCTCTCGATCAATCCGAATTTGATTTTTATTTTTTATTTTTTTAATTTTTTTGTTAGCAGGGAAAAATAGTCCATTTATGACTTACCTCTTTATTAAAAAAAAGAAAAGAAAATAAAAGGTAAGAGAGCGAAAGTCAAAAATAAAATTTTAAAAAGCTAATATCTTAAAAACAATATTTTATAAGGTTTTTTTTTCTTAAAATCCGCTAAAATAAATGACATAGCAAAATGAGAATGAGAGAGAGAGAGAGAGAGATCTTTTTAACCGAGTACAATTTTGAGAAGCAAATGTGAGTCTGCATCCTAAGGCTTGCTTGCTTCCTTCCATCACCTGGTCTGCATGTGGGACATTTGCACGTGTAGCTACCAATTGTGTTACGGCATGTTGCTTGGGGGACACATTTGTAATTTGGATCTTTGTGATTTAACTTCGAGCACTCGTCAATGTCCGCCATCCATTAAGGTTAGTATGATTAGGTGATCCACTGATTTAAGGATGAACACAAATACTATGCTCCTGCAGGAGCATAGTTTACAGCTACTCTCTCAGTAAAAAAAACATATTTGGGAGGATGTTTTCAATATGAAAATTTGAAAACCACTGAGGAGATGATTATTCTCAAAAGAAAACCAAAAAAAATAAAATTTATGAAAATTAACTTTTATGAGACTCAGATATTGCCCTCTAAAAACTGGAAGTTCTCTATTCAATCTCGAGACATTAAATATTTTTTCCCGGCATAGAAGGTGAAATTAGGAAATTTTTTATTATTAAAGTTAATCAAGAGGCTGAAGAGTTAAAATCTCAAAAATGGGATCCTAGAATTTAAGAATAGTTTACAATGAGACTTGTTACCTTTGTTACAAATGGTCACAATTAATCTTAACCATTGAATGTGAAATTGGTTGCTGCATTTATTCTATTGACCAAGCTGAATGTCCAAAATAAGTTTTTTCGAAACTCTCAAATCCTGACTATGATGTGGACATTTGGGAAGCAACCATGGAGTTAGGGAGACTTGTTTGATTCCAAACTCTCCAATCAAGGCTATGATATAATGGTGCGGTTTGTATAGAGCCGAGGCTCTAAACAATCAAAGTAAAGCACACCTTCAAATAGTACCACGAAATGTGGTTTCAATATTGAAAATTTTTGCAATAGCCTTAAAATATATTTTCATTTTTAATTATAAAATTTAAAACATAAAAAATATTGTAGATCAAGCTAATCTTTGAAAACTTGAAAATCATGAAAATTGACGGTCCAAAAAATGCGTTACAATATGCACTATTTCCAAAACTTGAAATCCATTTTTTTTCTCATGCCCATGCGCCTTGATATCCAAACGATCAATTTGAGAATATTTGAGTATCAAAATCACCTTTTCTAGTGAATTTTTTTTGAGGTGGGTTTTAATTTGATTGTTTAGAGCTTCGACTCTATACAAACGTTTTCCATGATATATTGGTTAAGAAAATAAAGACTTGGAACCAAAAACTACTCCGAATTACTTCACCTCCCTCTAAACACTTGAACTGTTCATTTTGATGGATGGACAATTTAAAGACAAAAGTTACCTTCTGTGCATAGTGGGATAACTCGAAAAGGTGAATTTAGTGAAATTGTTTTGTAGTCGCAGGCCTGGCATGGGTGCCAAGCATCAACGTCCTTGGATGCACATGGACGGCAGATGGTGGTCTGGGTATCCTCTTCAATACTCTTTTTAACTATAAAAATATTTTTCCTAAACCAAATATGAAACATGACTCGAATGGCTGGCCAATACTCTCCATAACCGACCATCACACAGTGATGCCCAACAAAAAGCTGGCCCTCTTTCTTGGGTAGTTCAGTGATAGGATTTGAACTTGGAAAAATCATGCATGGCATCTTCTGATACTATTGAACAGGGTCGTATATGTGTGTGTGCACGCGTGTGTATGTGTATAGGGGTTACCCTTAAGGTAAGGGTTCCCCTCGTAGCCTTTAGTGCAGTTACAGACGTAACCATATCCCCTCTCCGAATCAAGACTTATTGAATTCTCACCACAGGCACAGGGAATATGAGATGACCTCGCAGTAGAACACGTCTCGGTCCCTATAGCCCAATCCACCACCATTGCAAGAATCCCCAAGCCCTCCAAACCTTTAAGCAAAGACCTATTGAAAGTGTATCCCTCGTCCTCAGACAAGAATGCATAACTTCAATTACTGAAGCTCGTGGTCTCATTGAAGTTCATCAGACTTCTAGCTGAAACATTAGCCTGTGTCATATTATTGGGGACTTCAACTTCACAGCAACCAGACCCTTTACAGGAACCACTGTCGATACTGCTTTCATTGGCACATGTAGATGAACATGAAGATCCATAGAACTCATACTGCCCAGTCACGCGTGTATCACAACCGATGCCTACGAGCACTGTCTTCTGATTCGAAATAGAGTAGGGTCCTCGTTCTGGGAGACTTACGGTACTATCGATATGGTCAGTATCACTACAATAACCGGCGATGAATGGCATGCTGTTAACCTGAATGTCCTTGTATGTGACGCTTAGAAGCTCTATATTAGTGATGCCTAAGAACGGCTTTGGAGGAGCAGAGGATTGATTGCAGGTTATCTCAAATCCCTCCATGAAACAACCCTCTTGGTCCCTCATGCCAAACGGGTAAGGGATTTCGATGTTTCCACACTTTGTCTCGCATCCGTGTCTTGACCCACTGAGCCTGCGAGATCCCCAAGAGGAGTGCTGTGAAAGCCGACAAAATCGATACCATCGTCATTGTTTTCACGTTTTCTTGGTAGTTCAGCCAGAAGATTCGAAACTGAAATGTGGTGTTGCAATCGTCAACAACTAACCAATCAAGCGCAAACCAATTTCCAGATTCTCATTGCCTGTTCTCAACAAAGCCTGAATGATTCAGTTTTCTAGTTTCTTTTTAAAGAAGATATGGACTTGAATCATCAACTTCAAGGTGGCAACAATTATTGATTTTGAGTTCAGCTGCGGGCTGCAACTTACTTTTTAGACTAAGCAAAGGATATATTTCCTTAGTGAGTTACTATTACAATATAAACTGTTGAGTTACACTTTTTTCCCCACAAAAAAAAACACTGTCAATGTGTTTACTATTACAATATAAACCGTTAGAGTTAGATTTTTTTTTTTGGAAGCTTGTTGTTTACTACCACATAAAAATACCAGGCGCGCTTATAGCATATGCTCATGTGGGAGCATACTGCACAACTCCCTTGGGCAAGATAGTTGCTGGGGAGGAGTTTTTTTATCCAAAATTTTGAGATACGTAAATTCCACTATATAATAATTTTCAAAGAAAACATTGAATTTTGAGTTCTTGAACGTCTAGAACTTTCTTTCTAAAAGAATGGGACAAGAATCATTTAGAGAGAGGTTCTTGAGTTTACATCCCCAAAATTTGGGGTATGAAAATGGGGTTGTCTATAAAGAGACCATTTATCTTTTGTATATGGTAGTCATAATCAT